GGAGAGCCAGGACGGGGCGGCGCGGCGCGGCAGGCAGGAGGTTTCTGTCCTTTCGTTAGCCTGCCCATCCTCTAAGCCCACTCCCTGCCCGCCCGAGCCCCGATTAAGGTCTGTCCTCGGACTTACCGGCCCGCCTGGCCCAAGTCCGGCCTGGCAGCAGGAGCAGGAGCGCCACGCACAGAAGGATCCCGGGCTCAGCGACACGCGTCATGGGGACCTGCGGCCCTGGGCGGCGGCGAAAGGCAGGAGCGAAGAGACCGAGTGCGCCTGTACTTCAAGTGTCAGGACTGGAGGCGCTGCGCGTAGTCCCTGCGTCTCCGCTTCCGAGGCACGCCCCTGTCCTGCTAGCGGTTTCTGAGATCATCGCCTGTTTTCTCCTTTCCTGCCCCTCGCCCTTTCTGTGTTCCACCCCCTTTCTAGACCCTCATCGCCCATCTCCATTCCCGTTTTAGGCTCCTTCTCTCTTTGCTTAAGAGGCAGGTTTCCCCCCGCCCAGTGCAGGCTAGTTCTGAAGGGGCAGGGGACAGGTGGTAGCTGTCTTGCCTCAACGCTATGTTTTCTAGCAGATTCGATCCCCCATGGAGTTCCAGGCCTTTCGGGGACCAAAGTAACTCCTAGCTGGAAAAAGTGTAGGCAGGGACCTTCATTTCCAAGTGTGCCCAGCAAGGGGCCCCGTGGTGTCTGCTGCCATCTCCTAACTCCAGCGGTCACTTTCTTAAATTCTGTTTTTGCAAATGAGGCTTTTAGGCCCATCCTGAGTCACTGTTTTCTAATCATGAATCCCACCCACCACTAAATAGCTCAATTTCTCATGTTAGTCTCACCTGGGGATGAGAGTCAAAGTGTCACCTGTGGAGTCTGGAAAATATTCCTGGTTCAATTTTTAAAAATAAAAAATCAAGACAGAGGCGGCCATGGGACTTGCCGGTAATAGAGGACACCTATCTTAACTGAGCTGCTCTAAGAACTGATGCCTAAACCACCTCAGCAACGCCTGTGGAAGAGGAAGTGGGCACGGCCAGCCTGCTCAGCTACACTCTCCCAAGTTAGCCCTGGAAGTCTTTACAAAGGTAGAACCGGTGCCCATACTATATGCATGGCGTCTGACTTTTTCTACCCAAGTATGGGAGGCGTGCAAAGTCACATTTACCGGCTCTCTCAGTGCCTGATGGAAAAAGGGCATGAGGTCATAATTGTCACCATGCTTATGGAAATCGAAAAGGCATCCGTTACCTCACTAATGGCCTCAAAGTCTATTCCTTGCCTCTGAAAGTCATGTACAACCGATCTACAGCCACAACCCTCTGTCACAGCCTGCCATTGCTCAGGACAAATTTGTTCGGGAGTCACAATAATCCATTCACATAGTTCTTCCTCTGCCATGGCCCATGATGTGCTCTTCCACGCCAAGACCATGTGGCTCCAGACTGTCTTCACGGACCATTCCCTTTTCGGATTTGCTGATGTCAGCTCCGTGCTTACAAGCAAGCTTCTAACTGTGTCTCTTTGTGACACAAACCACATCATTTGTGTCTCTTTTACTAATAAGGAAAATACTGTACTAAGAGCAGCACTGAATCCTGAAATAGTGTCCGTCATTCCTAATGCTGTAGATCCTACTGACCTCACTCTAGACCCATTTAGAAGGCATGATAGTACAATAACTGCTGTTGTTGTCAGCAGACTTGTTTACAGAAAAGAGACCGATTTGCTCAGTGGTATAATACCTGAACTCTGTCAGAAATACCCAGATTTAAATTTTATAATCGGAGGAGAAGGACCAAAGAGAATCATTGTAGAAGAAGTAGAGAAAGACACCAGCTCCATGACAGGGTGTGTCTTTTGGGAGCTTTAGAACACAAGGATGTTAGAAATGTCTCAGTTCAAGGATATATTTTTCTGAATACCTCCCTTACTGAAGCATTCTGCATGGCGATAGTGGAAGCAGCCAGTTGTGGTTTACAGGTTGTAAGTACCAGGGTAGGTGGAATTCCTGAGGTGCTTCTAGAAAATCTCATTATTTTATCTGAGCCTTCAGGAAAAGCTTTGTGTGAAGGTCTGGAAAAAGCTATTCTTCACCTGAAGTCGGGGGCGTTGCTGGCTCCAGAACATATCCATAACATAGTAAAGACTTTCTATACCTGGAGGGATGCTGCAGAGAGAACTGAAAAAGTGTACGATCGGGTGGCAGGGGAAGCCGTGTTGCCGATGGACAGACGACTGGACAGACTTATCTCTCACTGCGGCCCAGTAACAGGCTACATTCTGGCTTTGCTGGCTGTGTTCAACTTTCTCTTCCTCATTTCCTTGCGATGAATAACTCCAGATTCTGTCATTGATGTTGCAATAGATACCACTGGGCCACGGGGTGCCTGGCCTCATCAATATCCTCCTCACAGTGAAAAGGAGAGTGAGAAGAATGAGCTGTCTAAAACCAGGTAGGAGAAAGCCTGGATTGTAAGATTTTAAGCATTTTTATTAGCTCTATTAAGACTATTGGACATAACCTTGCTTTTTTGTTTGTTTGGTTTTTTTTTACAGTTAATTTAGTAAGTTATGCTACCTCTATATCATTCAATGTTTTATTTTGAGGAACGATAACTTATGCAATTCCTGAGTGTAGAAACTCCTTGCACTTATTTAAAATTTAGGAGAGAACATTTAAGCCACTCAGGTATGAAATTTTTCAGACTACTGAAATCCCTCTAGCAGAGATATTCTAACATTGTATTTTGAGAGCTTTGGGTGCTGAAGGGCCAAACATTTTCTGGGCATTTTGTGGCCAGTTTTTAATGTTATACCATTAGTTAGACATTCACCAGATGTTTACAAGTTTTCTTTAGGAAAGTACAACAACTATATGAACTAGTTTTAAGTCATGTTCATATACATTTATTAGACATTGAAGTCATGTTCTTAAACATTGATCGGGTCCAGGCAATAAGTGTTACATGTAATCAGATTCTTTGACTAGGATGATCCGTTAGTTGCCAGCATGTATTGAGTACCCGCTATGTATAGAAGGTTGAACGAGGTACTCCCTGCTGTTAAGGCCAGGGGTACATTTGCTCTTTGTTTAGCACTCCAGTGACTTCCTTCATTGTAGTCACAGTTGACAAGAAACGATAAAATCCCCAACATGCCAGAAATGCTCATGCTAGTTAATGCCAGGAGGAGATCACCGGCGTACCCTGAGTGCTTCTTTCATCCTGTTGTGTGCATTCTTCTAGGTAGAGCCTTCGTCCTTAGTTGTGTTTATGAAGATACTTTTTGCTTTTTAAATACTAGGGACCGATATCACTGTTGATGATAGTGCAGAGAAAGCTTCCACATTTTTCAGTGCATAATTTAGTCCTCTGTGAATGCCTTTGTGTTTTCTGAACAGAATGTACAAGGTGTGCCATCTCAAAACCAGCTGCTACCCTGTCCTTTTCATACAAGTCACTACCCTTTCCTGTGGCCTAGCTGATGTCTGATACGTATTGTCAGTGCGCAAAAGGCTTGACTCCATGATGTTTTACTTATAAGAAACAGTCTGGAAATGATAAGAACAGGTGTCTTTGTGGGTGGATGTTATTAACTATACTTGTCGTTGCCTAGAGCCATGGGTTTTTAACCCCAAATTATCCACATGGTGTGTATTAGTAATTCTTTGAACTCTATAGAATACATTTTTGTAAGAAAAGGACTGTGAAATCAAAACAATGAGGCACTTGTGAGTGCACTACAGAGATTCATCAGTATTGTGATTCTGTACAGGATTTTTTAAAAAATGAAAACATTTACAAAACTTCTCACTTTTTAAAAAGTATCTTAACATGCCTGTTAACTGGTTGCCACTGACATTAAAGAAATATATCTGTGTTTCATTTGTACTGAATCACAAATACAAGAGTATAATCTTTAAAAATCTAAGAAGTTGGGGATTATTTTGTTAGAGAAAAATGGACCGACCCAGACCATTCATTCTTACTGGGATTTTTATGCCTAGAAACTGAGATGAAAGTATGAAATAAACAGTGCCAATATTCATGATGAAGTGAGCAACTGTAATATTTGGTTTTATTAATTCTACTCTGCAGGTTTTTTTTTCTTTGTTTTTCTCTTTAAATTTATTTATTTTTTACATTAATTCACTATATATCATTACAACATACAAATGAATTTTCCATCCAAAATACACTGTATATTGGCTCAATCAAGCACATCAACACACGTGTTATCAGCAAATAATTTTCCAATTCTTATGTCTTGTATACTTTGTTTTTTGTTTTGCCATCCTTGATTCCCTATCCCTCACCCTCTGCCATGTTCCACCCTCCTCCCACATTGTCTCTGGTATCCATGGTTGCTTTCTATGCCTTTTCCCCCCCATTTAATTGATTTGCTAATGAACTTAGTCTAAATATATCCAATAGCTAGCACAGCTGATATATACCTATACATGAACCCAAGTCTGACAGGGGTTAGGTGGTATTGCATTGTGGTATCTCTTTTGTAATTTGCATCTCCCTTATGATGAAGGATGTTGAGCATTTCCTCATATGCTTTTTGGCTGTTCATATGTCTTCCTTAGATAGTTTTTTGTTCAGATCATTTTCCCATGTTTTAATTCATTTAATCATTTTTTTTTCAGGTAAGTCACTTGCATTCCCTGTGTATTCTGGCTATTAGTCTCTTCTCTAAGGCTTAGTTTACAAAAATATTCTCCCATTCTGAAGGGTTGCTGATACACACTACTTACTGTGTCCTTTGCTTTACAAAAACTTCATTATCTGATGTAATTCCACTTGTCTATTTTGGGGATTATTGCCTGTGCTTTGGGAGTTCTATTTAAGAAGTCTTTGCCTACCTCAATGTCTCCCAGAGTTTCCCCACTGTTTTCCATCAGTAGTTTTATAGTTTGACGTCTTAGGTTTAGATCTTTGATTCATTGAGTTGATTTTTGTGAACAGTGAAGGATGGTGATTCAATTTCATCTTTGTGCAGGTGGATGCCCATTTTTTTCAGCACCATTTGCTAAAGAGATTTTCCTTTTCCCACTGGATTGACTGGCATCCTTTGTCAAAAATCAGTTGACTGTATGTTTGGGGGTTTATTTCTGGAGTCTCTATTCTGTTGGTCCACCTGTCTGTTTTTGTGCCAATACCATGCTGTTTTGATTATCACATCTTTATAATATATTTTTGGTTCAGGGAGTGAGATGCTACACATTTCACTCTTCTTGTGCAGTGTTTCTTTGGCAATGTGAGGTCTTTTAC